TGAATTCACCACCAAAAGTTGAAAACAAAAGATGGAGAACTCAACTAATGCTATAAATTCTCATTTGTTATGTTTTAATTACTTTCCATTATATTAACATTTTCTATTGGTTAATCTTTTTTTTATCAATCTGGAAAAGGTTAAAAATTTGGGTACCCACATTTCAATATCCCCTATTCTAGTACAAAAAAACAACATTGTGAATTGTGCGTATTAATACAAATTATAGACGTAATACTAAAATACAAAACAAATTAGCTGAATATTTACAAAAAAAACAACAACTTGATATTGCCATGAGATGAAGGCCAGTAACCTGCAGGGGAGTTTGCAGAGGTCAACAATAAATTTTCTCTTTTCGGTTTTTCAGAAGCTGTTTCAATATTCACATTTACAGAAGAGTTGGTATTGATGTTTGAAATAGCAGCCAAGAAAATGATTCCTAATGACTGTAAATCTTCCCACTCTCTTTGCTTTTATAGTAGGAATGATAGTGTGAAACTGATCACATCAGGATATGTTTTTGGATTCCAAGTCACCAGAACATTTTCTGAGGGTCTGAAGTCCAATCGCGGACTATATAAAGAAGACTAACAGCACCTGTCTGTTATTTATTTCCATAGTATAATTATCAATGTAAAACTTGACAGTTGACACAAGCTTATAAAAAAAATAATAATAATAATTGCTTACACTGCACTCCACTCCACTCAAAGCGCTTTACAGGTAATGGGGACTCGCCTCCACCACCACCAATGTGCAGGATCCACCTGGATGATGCGATGGCAGCCATAGTGCGCCAGAACGCTCACCACACATCAGCCATCAGTGGGGAGGAGAGCAGAGTGATGAAGCCAATTCATAGAGTGATCTGAGGCTTGGTGAAAAGTGTGGCTGGCATCTATATATTAGTTCATTTACAATATTTTTAAATATTTCATTCTTTTGTCTGAATGGTGAACAATAAAGTTGTCACCTTCCTCCAAATCTAAAGGTTTTTTAGCTTAGTTGTTTTTAGCACAACACTCCTTGAAACCATATACTGACACTGTAGCCCATTCACACTTTGCTGACTACAATTCCATCACCAGCTCCAATTCTCACAGCAGAATATTCTTTTAAACTTAAAGCTCCACCCAGTCAATAAAGAACTTATCAGCGCAGACTCTGTAACATTGATGATGAGGTTAATAGAAACAACATGGAGAAACTAAAAGAGCACAAAATACTAACACAAATAACACATTGTACTGAACAATTAATTGTACTGATTTTTTTACCTATTCAATAACTCAAATTCAAATTTTATTAAATAGTACTTGGTGTGATTGAAACAATGACCATTTTGCAAATGTGATCATCGAGAGGAGACTAATTTAAGACCGAAATTGTGAGAAATATCATTTGACACAAACAACAGTGGGGTTGTGCAACAAACTACTAAATCTTGTAACGCTAAGATTCCGAAACTGATTAGCTTCTTCCTGAACATATTCATCTCATTTTTAGTAATATATTAATAAGGGAAATGGTACAACCAACCTCAGGTGGCTGCTGGTGTAAACTGGCCAGTTTCAGAAAGCTTCTTTGCACTTGGAAAGCAGCATTCACCATTTCAGCCTGTAAAACAACAAAACAAATATCAACAATATTTGATATGCCAGTGTTAAAAAAGTAATATTTAATTTCTTGCCTCTTCACCTTTATCAGAAGTGCCTTATTGTTTTAAGATGTTCACTACACCATGTGAGGACAATTCAGTCTTAGGTTCACCATCTTGGTCAGTAACAGTTTAAAATGATTGCAGTTTCTAATGTGAATCTATTGACATAGAATTTATTGAATTAATAGAATTCTATTGAATTTACCCCCTGCCAAAAAGATTACATTGATAGTAATGTATGTTTTCATAAAGACTTTATTCAAAACTGGAATGATCAAACTGAACACTACTAAATACGGTATGACAGAGGATCAATATCGGCAAAACCTGCAAAGTGTATATTCAATGTGAAATTTTATAATAAAAATAAACTTTATTTCATATTACACCTTTATAAAATACAACAACAATATTGTACAACAACAGTAAAAAGAATACACAAGATACACACAATGAGAATACAGATAGAGGACACAGTAGATGGTGTTACTAAATACAGTAGGAGCAAAGGGGTAAATAACAGAGCCAGTTAAGTAAAGGCTCTTCTAAAGAAGAAGGGTTTGAGTTTGGATTTGAAGGAGTTTAGAGAAGGTGACTCTCTGATATCATTGGGGATAGTTCCAGATCTTTGTGGCATGACAGTAGATGGCTCTGTCACCCATTTAGTGTAGACAGGCTTGGGGGACAGATAGGAGACCAGAATAAGAAGAGTGAAGGCTGCGACATGGGAAGTAGGGCGATAATAGCTCAGACAGGTACTGAGGTGCCAAGCCATGCAGAGCCTTATAGGTGACCATGAGGATTTTCAACACAAAACTTGACAGTAAGCCAGCGCAAGGACTCCAGGATAGGAGTAATGTGATCGCTTGTACTAGACCTGCTCAGGATTCTGGCTGATGAACTGTAGACATACTGGTGTTTATTCAATGTGGATTTAGAAACCCCAGTGAGTACAGTTACAGTAGTCGATTTGGGAGAAGACAAATGTGTTTATCAGCTTTTCAGACACAATTAGTGATAACACAGGAGGTAGTCTATCGATATTTCTGAGGTGAAAGAAAGATGTTTTGACAATATGCTGCACATGTGGGTCGAATGTCAAAGCCTAAATCAAATATAACCCCCAGGTTTTTAAATTTAGACTGAAGCTCAAGTAAGGTACCATCCACAGATAGGGTTACAACATTGGCTTTACTAAACTGAAGGGGGATACTAATAAGCATGACTTCAGTTTTGTCACAGTTTAGATGAAGGAAAGTTTGTATCATCCATGTTTTTTTGTCAGAGATGCAATGAGATAGGGTAGAGACAGTCACATCCCAGTGTCAGGTTTGGTATGGATGTAGATTTGAGTATTGTTAGCATAGAAATTATAGTTGAAGCCATGTGATCTTAAAAGCTGACCAAGTGGAAACATGTAAATGCTGAAAAGTAAGGAGACCAGTATCGTGCCCTGAGGAACACCAGACTTAACAATTCCAATTTCAGACCTAAATCCACCAAGAGAGACAAAGTGACAGTGATTAGTGAGGTTAGACCTGAACCATTTGAGAGCAGTGTCAGAAATTCCAAACACAGTCTCAAGATGAGAAAGTAAGATATCATGGTTAACAGTGTTGAAAGCAGCACTGAGATCAAGAAGAACGAGGATAGAAAGAGAACCAGAATCAGAAGCTATTAAAAGATCATTAGTGACTCTGACCAGGGCAGTTTCTGTGCTGTGAAGTTTCCAGAAGCCAGATTAAATGGGTTCAAAAGGTTATTTGCAATTAAGTGTTTATTTAACTGAATTGTAACAGCACATTCTAGAATTTTTGCAAGAAAGGGTAAGTTGGAGATGGGGTGAAAATTGTTTAGATTGTTCAGAGCCATGTTAGGCTTTTTTGGCATGGAGTAATGGAGGCAATTTTGAGGATCATAGGTACAACACCAATGTATATTGAGGACAATGGGGCAGAGAGAAGTGAAACAGGACTAAAATAAAGGGACAGGGATGGGATCTAATATACAGGTGGTGGATTTCATATGTGAAGCCAGTTTACTGATGGATGCAGAGTCAAGAAAAGAGAAGTTGAAGAGAAGGGAATGATATACATAGTAGAAAGAATGTAATTGTGGATGCTGTAGATTTTGGAGCAAAAGAAACCTAAGAATGTGTTCCAAAGTTGCCATGAGCAAGTATTGTAGTGGGGCAGTTTGGCTTAAGCACTCTGTTGATGGTGGAGAAAAGATGTCTGGGGTCGTTATGGTTATTTTTAATGATGTGAGAGAAGTAGGTTGATCTCGCGGACCCTATCATATCTTTATATTCAGACAAGTAATCTTTCCAAGCCTGATAATGTATGTTTAAGCCAGAAAGATGCCAACTACACTCAAGTTTTCGTGAGAATGCCTTCATTGATTGCAGATGGTCAGTGCCCTGGGGGGAGAGTGAGAAAAAGACATGGTTTGAGTTTTTAGAGGAGCAAAGCTGTTAAGGGTAGATAAAAGAACACTATAAAGTAAATGTATTTTGTCCTCTAGAGCAGTGGTTCTCACTTCTGTTTCTTTCACTTCTGTTCTGCATCTTACTCGCATTTGCACTGTCACTATTGTTGTTATATTTGCATTTCAGAGTCCCATATTTGAACCAGTGATCCATAATAACCCTTCTGCTTTGACTGCTTCTTTAAATTACACCTTGAACTTTCAAACTCAAAGTAAGATATTCAAAAGTGAGAACAAAACGGTACGAACAATAATAAGTGCAACGGTCGAACCAAACGTAAACGGCGTAATCACGCAATCACGACAACTAGTGATGTGCGGGTTTGACTCAAGTTAAAAAAAAGATTTTAGATCGGGTTGGGCAGGTGGGGGTTGATATATGACCAAAAACTAAATATTGCAGAAAACCGATCATTTGTATCTTAGATTTAAGTGATTTTAAGTTTTAAAGCTGACATTTTACCATATTTAAGCCCCATTTGGTTGTATCACAAGGCAAAGAAGGAGAAAATGAAATCAAACAGAAAACAGTGTATTAGTAATAGTATTACAAAGAAAAAACATAATGGCAACCTCGTTAGAGCAGATGAGGAAAGAACTCCAGAACAGTGAGATAAAATAAAGAAGAGAGACGGACAAAAGCCACGTAGGAGAAGTTTGGCGAGCTAGGCAGCAAAACAGAAGAAAAAAGCACAAGTTTCGTTATCTGGGTCGATTGTGAAGCAATTTACAAAAATGACAGTCAGAAGACTAGCCTACTTTAGTCTGTTTAAAACAAGGAATCTGGATATGCTGTTTCAGTAAATGTTGATCAAATGAATGTTCGAATAGTGTTCGGTGTAATTTCTAATGGAGCGGGTTCAGACCGGCTTCGGATCAGTACTTTTCTCATTTTAAATTGGGTTGGGCGGGTCAAAAAAAAGCCGACCCGTGCATCACTAACGTCAATAGACTGCTGCTGGGCGGCAAGGACGTCGCCGCCAAACCGACTGTCTCGTTTTCAATGTGTGACATAATTTAATTCATGGTGCATAAAACTAAAACACTGAAGCGATAGGCGCCAATGGGGAGAATGAAGAAGCGAGGTGGTTCGCAATACATTAAAAGCCAGCATTCCAAAAACACTTGATCCTCTCCAGTTTGCCTATTGCACAAACCGCTCCATGGAGGATGCAATCTCTAGCTTTACACACCACACTAACCCACCTGGATAAAAGGAACACCTATACAAGAATGCT